TATTATTATTATTATTATTATTATTATTATTATTATTATTATTATTATTATTATTACAACGCAACAATTGTTTATAAGATTTTAAAGTTTTTTTTATTATACTATTAAAACTATTTACTAATTGTTTTTAAAGAAAATTGTTTCATGAAATACAAAATTAAAATAATAATAGTAATAATAATAATAACAATAATAATAATAATAATAATAATAATAATAATAATAATATCATTCATAAAACTTAATTAAGTGTAATCATGTATTTATAAAACATAATTAATATAACCTCATTTATTTTCCCTCCAAAAGAAGTTACAAAAATTTGTCATTCATATTTTGCTTTTCACATTTTTACACCCTATGAAGTGTAATCATGTATTTTTTTTTGCTATTATATTATATAATAGTTAATGCTATTACCAACTCATAATAATTCACATTAAATATAAATTACATAAGTATAAACAATTCTATTGTTTCAAGATATTATTATTATTATTATTATTATTATTATTATTATTATTATTATTATTATTATTATTATTATTATTATTATTATTATAGTAGTTAATGCTTTTTTTGCTATTATATTATAATAGGTAATGCTATTAATTTTTTTTTTACATGATTACACTTAATACAGTATATTAATGTGAAATCCAAAATATGAATGACAAATTTTGTAACTTCTTTTGGAGGGAAAATAAATGAGGTTTTATTAATTAGGTTTTATTTATGAGGTTTTATTTATTGATTAGCTAGCAATTATATATATATAGATATCATCTATTGTTTTTTTTTTTAGGATAACGAGGACAATGATATTAAATGAGTTATTTTATTTTCATAAGCTATGTTCGTTTAAATTTAAAAAGTAATAAGATTATATCTGTTTTCCACATCTTTTAATCAGTGTTAAGTCTAAAAAACAAGTAAGCAACAGTGTTATGATCTTTTTCCATTTTTTTCAATCAGTATTTTTTTTTCACCCAGTGATATTGGATGAGTTATTTTATTTTCATAAGCTTTGTCCGTTTAAATTTAAAAAGTAATAGGGTTATCATCTATATTCCACATCTTCTAATCAGTGTTAAATCTAAAATTGACCATGATCATGGAAATTATTCTCATATAAATTATAATATTTATTTTGGTCAAAATATTCTCATATAAATTATAATATTTATTACGGACCATTTAGTATAAAGTTCAAATTTTTTTTTTTATTTTTTTTTTATTTTTTTTTTTTGGTAGCATTCTCTTGCAATACTGTAGTTTATAATGTAGTTTTTTAGTTATACATTCGATATGCTCCAATATAATGCATATATGGTACAAATAAGGCAAAATTGCATATAAAATCACCAATTTTTATGTTTTTGCAATTTAATCACCACCTTTGTAATTTAGCAATTTAATACACAACTTTACTTATTTTTTGCAATTCGAATCACAGGGCCCAATTTCGGGCCTGTTCTGGTGACGTGGCATTTTGTGGTGACGTGGCGTTTCCACGTGTCAATGACGGGGCATCTTTGGGCTGACGTGGCAGTCTATGTCAATTAAGAAAAAAAATATATATGTTTTGTAGAAAGGGGGGTTTGAACCCTAGTCTCCATGGGAGAAAAGTAACTATACTACCAACTCACCTATCCATGTTAGCTATCATATTCAATAACAATTTATATATATAGGAATTACGTATGAATAAATTATATTAAAATATAAAATTAATTATAATAAATTAATTAAATATAAAATTATAATAAATTAAATTAAATTAAATGAAAATAAAATAAATGAAGATAATTAAAATATAGAATTTTATTAATTCATATTTTGTGTTAGAGTAAACCATATTAATAATATTTAATAAATAAGATTTTCACTATTTATTATTTAATAATCAGTTATTTTGTTTATTATTTTATTTTATTTTATTTGAATTCACCTTTTTTATACTTTATCATCTTATGTTATATTATTTTTATTATATTTTAATAAATATAACTTATTATGAAATAATAAATAAAAATAAATAAAAATCTTAAATAAATATAATAAATTAAAAATATAATTTAAGTAAATAAAATGTTAAATGATCGTAATGAATAATAAAACAAAAAGTGTTATTTTATATAAAATAATAAAATATTAAAAAACTTAAATGAAATAATAATTTATTATATAATAATAAGTTATTATATTTATTATAAATTTATTTTAAATAAATAAATAAAAATATTAAATGAATATAATATTATTAATATGATTCACTCTAACACAAAATATGAATTCGAAAAAATATATTTTAATTATCTTAATATATTATTTTTAATTCAATTTTATATAATTTTATTTAATATTATTAAATTATTTTTTTAGATTTAATTTGATTTCTCCATACGTAATGTAATGTGTATATATATATAAAGGGTTATCACATTTAACAACTAAGTTGGACTGGTGTGGTGGTAGCTAAGGCTACCCTTCAACCCCTTCAACCCAGGATCGAA